CAATTAAAAAGTATTACATAGACTTTTTATATGCTTACGTAGTCGAGCTGTGTTTCATTAATATGTAACATACATGGTGTGGAAAAAATATCATGCAAAATAATCATTTTGTAATACTTATAACATTTAAGAAAATCGTTAATATGTCAATGTGTCAACTAATTTTTAAATAATATCTTTTTTTTATTCAACAATACAAGTTAGTTTAAGTGAGGACCAATTACAAACTACATATTCTTAGATTTTGAAGAAAAATTATATTATGATGTGTGGTGATTTAAAATCTTCTAGATAAAATATTCCTATACAGATTTATAGTTAATTTGGTTTTAAGATAATAGAATGTCAGAATAATTTGCATTTTAGGAAAGGTTTGATTCAGATTTTGCCACTTTTTTCCTATACACAATGACTTTTTGAAATTTTATTATCATTTTAATTAGACTGCCCGACTTCCTTTTAACCTTCTATATTATCAATTGTTATTTGTAGAGTTTTATTTTTCTACTTACTACTACTCGTATGTAGGTCAATTTTAATTAAATTCAAACTTTTCATTCACGTTCCTATTTTACACATTTGTAATTGGAAATAGAAACATTGTACCGGTTCATATCCGAATCTAATATAAAATTTGTATTCATGCATAAAAATATACCTACATAATAAATATTATTTATAACCGTGCGTAATTATGTATATTAATATACATATATGTAAGCTTATATATATAAGCTTACATTAATAAATCGTCGAAATTTGAAACCAAAAAATAGAAATTCCAATTAGGTGCTTTTTAACTAACTTGAAATAATTGTACACGATTAACATTATACATTCAATTTCTAACCACCTTATAACCGGTAATATTCTACTGTTTTTGAAAAATTACTGAACACACATACATATATACATAATTGTCATAAATATAGATGTAAAAATATATGAATAAAGTCCATATATATTTAGAAATATATCTAAAGGTTTACGACATTACATACATCCTATGTATCCAACTTACATACATATATGCATAACATAATATGTTTTAGCATAATATGTACAAACATTCATCTATAGATTACTTGTTTACATAAAAATACAATTCATAATTTTCGTGTATAATATGTATGTGTGTGTATGTGAAATATATATTTGTACATATGTACTTAATAATACGTTATACATACATACCCATCATACATTTTAATTTATGTACAATGTACATATGTAAGTGAACATGTACATATTATGTACATATAAAGAAACTGGATATGATATAAAACAACTCTTGAGTACATGATTGTTTCGTTTATCACCGCCAATATTTACAGTTTCAATGAAATCGTATATTCTATAAAAATTAGAGAAATTGAAACGAGAAAGGAGAAATTGAAACATGGGATTACCAAAGAATTTAATGGCAAATGATTCTTACAACAAGTATACAACGAAATGATGAACGTTGACTTTGTACATAATTTTCTGTATAATTTTAAACGACTCCATAAATGTAGTAAATTTAATATGTGTAAAAAAAATTTAATTTAAATTAATTTTAATTTTATTTTCAGGAAAATGCGATGAACTTGATTTCAGCATAAAACAGAAGATAAAATGCAAAATTATGCGTCGGAGAATATTGGGCAATATGTATGGAGCTGCGCCACAATGTATGTTTTTTATAATGTTCCTGAAAATAATGAAACTATGTTGATAAAATAATAAAATAGTAGATGAAAAGAAAATTTCATTGGCTGTGTCATTGTGCTTACCCGCAAGTTGTAAAACTGAAGTGAATATCATTAGAAAAAAAACGTCAAAGATAATCTCTTATTTCATCCTACTTGTGGCAGATGTGCGAAATTCTACTGATTTTGTTGAAAATTACATGTAATAATTAATGATTATAAAGAAGAGAAAATGGAAAAATACTAGCTTTACTTCCAAAATCATTATTAAGAATCAGTTCTGCGATTATAATAACCACATCATCCGACAGAAACTTGGCCAAGTAAAATGATTTATTTTAGCAATACAAAAAAAAATATTTCATCGTATATTATAATAAATAATTTACCCATATTAATTGGTGTTGTGTTACGTTATTGCATCTGTACAACCAACTTGTTCGACGGAAAAAAACAAATCATAAAAATCGAAACAACAATTACACAATTTGCTTAATGCAACTCTATTGCCAATGACATACGTTTTGTCTACATTTTGTACATACATACCATATTATTATATGCATATAACTATAGCATTATCAAATCTCTATATCAATATCTCTATTTATGAATAATGGAATGGACGTTAATATACAGTTTTTTTTTTTTTGTATACATTTAATACATAAAGTGCATTCAAAATACAGAATGGTTTAACATGCGGCTTTTAGTTTTTTTTTTCTTCAACATTCATTCTTTATTTTTATTTCTATACAACAAAGTGCTGTACGTATTTTATATAAATAATGGATATACAATATGAATTCAACATTGGCAACATTTTATAGTAGTGTTACGTGGTTGCATTCGTTGCATATATACATATTTTAGTTTACGTTTCTGTATGCATACATTTTGTATGCATATACATAAAAGGTGTAAGTGTGTGGGTTTGTTTTTACAATTTTATACATATGTAGTTGTGTGTGTGAATAGGCATACATATATAAATACATTTGGGAAATTTATATATAAACATAAACACATGTGCAAGTGTGTGTGAGTTAGTGACACGCACACATACCAGTATTTATTACGTAGTGTTCAGTGTTCCCACTCAATAAAAACAAAATGTATCCAATTTCGAGAAAAAAATGTATCCAAAATGTATCCAGCCTCCTAAAGTAGAATAATTATACTAAATCGTCTTATTTTACACCAATAAACTCGTAAATAATATTAATTTGCTTTATTCAACAATGTGAGTTTCGTTATTTATAGTAAATTCTTTTAGAAATCACACGCAATTTCTACTACATTTTAAAATTTAAGGTCAGAAAATATATGTTCTGTAGCTGTTGAACTATGCGGTAAAAACGATTCAGCATGAAAACGGGCAAATTTTATTTAGTCAGCAAATTAAGTTTTTTGGAAGATAAAGCACTTAAAAGTTACAGCACTTTAAAAGTGTTCTAATATTTATTTAGTGTTCGAGAAAGAAATTTATCCATATTTCAGCAAAATTTTAAAATGTAGCCAATTTCGACATTTTAGCAGATTTGAGTATCTTTGTATCCAAGCTAAATTTTAAAGCAAAAATGTATCCAAATGGATACAATTGTATCCAAGTGGGAACGCTGGTAGTGTTAATAGTAATATTATTGTGTATGTATATATGTATGGATATTAAGATGAATATTTATAAAATATAGAAATAAGCATTTTCGTATATACGACAGAATTAAAAGTAAACAAGAAAGGAATAAATAAATAGAAGGAAGGAAAAGAAAGAAAGATAAAGCAAAGATTTGAAAAAAAAAAACGAAAATAAAGTTTAGCAACAAAAATAAGAAAAACAAAAAGTCTAATATAAACACAAGAATCAAATGAAACAAACGTAGTGAGTTTCTTTTTGCCTCTTTTTTTTTTTTTTTTTGCTTTTAGTTTCGTTTTAATGCTAAATAATATAGTTGTTATTGTTATTTTTCTTTTATTCTTCTTATTATTTTTATATTTCTGGTTACTATACTGAATTTACGACACTCTGTACTATAGTAAATTGGAAAAAATTTTCTACTGTGAATTTTAGTTATTGTGCTACGGTCATTCAGTAAAGTTTTGTGTAAAGAATTTTACGCTGAAAAGTAAAACGGCAACAAAAGAAAAAAATAAATAAATTCAATTGGATTTAATTTAAGATTATTGTGAAGAAAATTTATTAAATTTAAGAATTAAAAGAAAAATAATTAAAGTTTAATTAAATAGATTAAAAAATTAAGTGTAAATTTTATGTTTTAAACTTCCTATTTAGACACTATGATTAGGTACAAGAGTACCTACATCATTACTTAAAAAACAGTTTTATTTTTGTTGTCATCGTCATCGGTTTTTCGTCTTTATTGCTCTTTCTTTCTTTTGTTCAAAGATGTGATTTTAAAATAAAAAAAAAATTATTGTAAAAATAAAACATAATTTTGTTGTTTCAACATACATGTATGTATGTATGCATTTAATTTATAAAATATAATATTGTGTACATAGATTTTAAAATAATAGTTTGAATATAACTAAGTTTGATTTATAAAATATTGTAGATTTCAAATTCGAAGTTATTGTTTTTCTTAAATAGTTAAGTAAATAGTGAAAAGAAAACCGCGGAAATACTAGTTTATTACTCTACGCTTATTCTTTTACTCTATTTTAGTTTCTTTCCTGGTTTCTTTTAATAAATGTACATAAGGCTATATACATATATTATGCACATATATTTATAAATGTAACAAACAAGTTGTATTTTTTGTCTGGTTCTTAATAATAATTTAAGAATGAGTTCTCGTTTTACTATACAATTGTAAAATTTTCTATTTATTCTTAATATTTTGTAGATTTCACAAGCAAGCTAACAGAATAAATATTACATACCTATTTTAAGAATAAAATCATTGGTGAAATTAGAATTAAGTGAATTCAAAATTTAAAGGGAAGAAGAAAGTAAGAGTTAAAAAAGATTTTCAAAAGTTCTATTTCGATTCAAAATTAATATTTGATAAAGAACATAAGTAAAATTATTTAAATAAGGAAAAGAAATTGTAAATAAATTTTTCGATTTTGTATTTCAAGTGTATTATACATTATAGTGTGAATGTTTGCATTAAGAATTTTATATTTTTCATTATTACTTACAAAGTAATTAATTAAATATTTAAAAATTTCAAAATTTCTATTAAATATTTTATTTGTGCTAATATTAACGATTGTATTGTTTTCAATTTAAAATACACCTACGAATAAATTCGATAAAATTAGTAAAGATTTAGTTAAGATTTAATATTTTGCATTATTCTAGTATTTATTTTAGTTTGTACTCAAAAAATAACAAAAAAAGTAAATTAATTTTGTAATAGAGTTTGTTTTTTGAAATTAATAATACCTTAATAAAAATTAAAAATGACACCTGAGGAAGAAGAGGAAGTACGTACATTATTAATACGTCATAAAGATCGTATTATTAAAGATTTATCATCAACTGATCTATTGACGGTATTAGTTAAAAATTCTGTGATTACACCATTAGAAGAAGAATTATTAATGTTAAAAAATGTTAATAAAAATAAAAAATTAATTGGTGATAAATTGAAATTAAATTCATTAAATAAAAATAAATTAAAAAATTCATTAAATAATAAAAATAATATTGAACAAAATCAAAAATTTTTATTACAAACGCAACAACAACAACAGAAATCATTAACAACAACATCAGTAACATCAATAACAGATGGAATTATAACAACATCAACTGCAACAACAGCAGCAGCCGCAACAACAACATCATCATCCCAATCATCATCAATTGGAACATTATATCAACAACAACAATATAATAGTAGTTGTGATAATACAACATCATCAAATTCATCACCATCTGGTGGTGGTGGTGTTGGTGTTGGTTGTGTTGGTGGAATAAGTGGTAATATTAATAGTGCTGGCGGTAGTATTGGTGGTACTATCGGTATTAATAATTATAAAAGTGTAAGTAGTGTTATTGATGATAATAGTGATTCAATTAATAATAGTAATAATATCGGTTATAATAATATTAATAATAGTAGTATATGTAGTAATAATAGTATTGCTGGTAGTATTGGTATAAGTGGCATTATTAATTATATGGATGATGCTGATAATATTAGTAATACTAATAATTCATCTTTAGCAACAATTCATAATGATGATACCACAATAATTGATGATTGTATTGCTGATATCGATGATAATGATGATAATAATATTAATAATAAAATAATAAATAATTGTGATATTGATAATAATGGAAAAAAATTAATTAAAATAAATAATTTTAAAAAATATAATAATACAAAAAAAATTATAACTGATCTTGATGATGATGATAATGATCATGATGATGATGATGTTAATGATGGTAATGATATTGATATTAATAGTGATGATCATAATAAATTACAAAAACATCAACAAAAACGTAATAATCAATCGTTACAACAAAAACAACAGCAGCAACATCAAAATATTATTAGTGGTGATGATGATATTGATACAACAGCTGATATTGATGATTTAACAAGTTGTAGTGAAAATTTAATTAATTTAGAAAATCAATGTGTTAAATTGATTGATATTATTGCTAAAAATGGATTTCAACGTTTTAAACAATTTTGTTATGCTATCGAAAACGAATGTCCACAATTAATTGAGGATTTAATTAATGATCGACTTAAAAATGGTAAGTGTTTTTTGCTTCATATTTTTTTTATTTATTTTATATTTTACCAATTTTAGTAAAAATAACTGTTTTTTGTTTTTTACTCTCGAATTTGAAAAAAAGTGCTAATTTTGCAAAATTATTCTATAATTAATTTGCCAGTGTATATAAAATTTTGACTTAATGTAAAATGTCAATCGAATTATTTGGTTTCTGTTACCCTGTAGGTATAAAATAGATTTTTGTGTCACTCTTAAATTTTTATAAAACTGAAACGTATTGTGTAAGCATAGGTGTACTGTCCTAAACTGTTTTAAAATAAATTAATGAAATTTAAGCTACAATTTAATGTCTTCTCTGTTCAAAGAATTTTTACAATATGTAAATTCCTAACAATTCCATTTCAAATGTTTGTTCTTGTATACGTGTATATGTGTATGTCTATATTACTTTATATGTGAAAGACCCTTCTTTTCTATAATTTTCAATACTTAAATAAGTATAAGAAAATTGATTATGATTACAATAGAATATCGAAAAGACTCAAGAGAATTAAGTACATTACTAATATTATACATGCAATGTTAAACTTGTATGTAATCTATATGTATATTAATTATATGTACATATATACATATGTAAGTATATTAATTTTAATAAAATCTTCATATAGCATACACATTTAGATTAAATTCTTGAATCCTTCATAATATTCCAATTTTAATTTCCCATATGATTCTCTTTTCTTATACTTTTATTTTCAATATTATTAGAATTAGAGTAATAAAATATTTCCTTTGAATATGATGAAAATTTTTAAATCGAAATTCTATTTCATTTGGGAATAAGTAAATTTTTTTTAATTTTTTATATTTAAAATGAAATTAAAATAGAATTAAAGAGTAATATCTAACTAAGTATTTTATTTTTATGATAATTTGAAGTAGGAAATTTTCAATAATCATGCTATTGAACTGAAAATGAATGGATTTATTTAACATGTGTGCTCTTAAAATTTAAACTTTGTAAAAATGCAAAAATAATAAAGGTGATTCTCAAAGAGTTATAGAAACTGATTTTTTTATTTAAGAAAAAATTAATCTAAAACATTTATTATAAGACTTGGGTTTCTAAAATTTTACAGTTTGATTATATTTGATATCATTAGTTACCGAATTCCTTTATAATTGAGTAAAATATGGAAAATACTTATATGAGATAAAAAATATATGTATGCAAGGTATTTGTATTTTAATGTTAAAACTTTATTGAACAACTTTATTGAGCATAAAATGTAAAAGCTAGTACTTAAGAATATTATTGACAAAGCCCAAATACCGAGTGACTTTAATGTTAGCGAAAAGTAACGTTACAGAACTATTAACATAACTAAACTGTTAATATTCATTTTAAAAATTGACACTTTTTATAATTAACTTAAAAATTGTATGGTTAATCCTGGAAATATTATATATTATATGTAAATTTTTTTTCTTGACTTCTATATGCTCAAAAAGGGCGAGATTTGCAACTTAAATTAATTTATGATTAAATACACGAATTTTGACAATATTAATCAAAGTCAACAATATCAAGTCCCTAAATGGAATCGATTTTATGGGGTCGATGATGTTTTAGGAGTGGTACTGTCGAGCGCCATATACCTTAACAGCAGACCTAACATTGAGCAGTGATTAATAAGTATTGATTCTTTGCTACTAGCATTAAGCTAAAACTGTTGTAAATCTTTGAATGTCATGTTAGGAATTTTACATAAAGCGAACTCAATCAAGTACCTATCTAATACGTTATTTTTATTTCATATTTAACAATATACTTATAAGGATTTATTTCTTAAAGAAACAAGAAAGTTTAATGAAAATGGAAAAAGTCTTGTAGAAATTTCAGTTATACCATTTTCTTTACTTAATCCAACCTTAAAACAATTCAAATCTTTTGATGTAATTTTAAAAGAAAAAATGAAATAAATGAATTATTTAAGCGTATATTAAACAATTTTATATGTCCTTTGCATTTGAAACTTGAAACATAAAAAAAGTCAAAACAAAAATATGCTTTTTTCGATTTTTAACTTTTTAGAAAATTAAATTTTCTAACTTAATACTCGTATGTGCTTTGTATAATAAATTCTTTGAAAATTAAAACATTAAAAGGCTATAAAGAAAAATAATTTATGCTCATATATTTTGCACATTAAGTATTTTTTAAGTGTGGGTTTAAACATACAATAATGGAAAAATACATAAAGGAACTTGAAAGGACTAAACTGTTTTCTGTTTTTTTTTTTGTAAATCCCTTTTATTAAAATTAATAGATCCAATTTATGCTCTTGTTTTTGCAATATTCTCAATTGCATTTTTTAAAATTAAATACAAAATGAAATTGCCTTAAGTATACGAGTCAAAAATGAAATTTTTAATCGTTTCCTTATTTCCTTTTTAAATCGTACATAACATTAAAGGGGTTACTGACCTCTCTTAATTCTTTTGAATTTAAATTAATTTCTTTTCTTTATTAAAAATAAAGGCAAATAATATAAGAACACTTAAATAATTATGTATGAAAAAATATGTGTACTTAATTTTTTTGGAGTACCGTAAATATTAGTACTAATAGGTAAAATATACTTTTCTTTATTAAATTATTAACGGAGAAAGTTAAAGAAATAAAAATAGTAAGCAAGGGCACTTATAAAATTTAATGATTATACTTAGGTAATTTAGAATAACTTAACCTAGTATATTAGGTTCTTCTATGCATAAATTGTGCAGCCGCGTTTTCATATTATTAGTTTAAGGTATGAAAGACGATTACATTCGTGATAATTATTCATATAAATAGTTATTCATTATAATTAGATGCAGAAGGGCATTCTATAGACATCTTTATTAATAAACTGCTGCTTAATTACATATTTATATGTGTATGTATGTACATATATAAAAGAAAATGAGATTGCATACGTTTAACTGATATTTTGTTAGTGTGAAAATTTATTATGTTATCAATTTGCAAAATTATAATATTTTATTGAATTATGATCCGCCCAGTAATTAATTTTTAAAACAATATTTTCATTACATAACATAGGTTAATAAATAACTCCCGTTATATAAATACATACTTAATATTTTACGTTAATTATAAATTTTTAATAATTTTTATATGCTTAGGTCGTAGAGATCATTTAAAACAATTCATAATAGCTATGTATGTATGTAATTTAATATAAAGCATTTATTGATTGTCAATAAAATGGAAAAAAGAATATTTAATATTTTAATACGAGTATTAAAGTTGATATGTACTCACTTTTGTCAATTACTATGTTTTGTTTCAAGCAGCCTGCATTTTTAGCAATTGAATATTAAGCATTTTTAGGATTAATTTTCACTATTTTTCACTTTTCAGAACCTAAAAGAAATTGTAGTGCTAATGCTATATTTTCAATGAAAAACAAAAAAAGTTTCGATACTTATTCACAATTTGATTAAATTTAATTTGTTTCAAAATTTTGGGTGCAGAAATTGTTTTGAAAATTGTAAAACTGTAATTTAGGGGTAAGATTCATCACAACTTATTAATTTTCTTTCTCGCCCTGTATGGACATGGCAGTCTTCCATTATATTTATTCAAGAAAAATCTCTCATGAATTCGAGAAATTTGTACGACTCTGTAAAATTTTATAAAACGCTTTGTTTTCGTGATTCTGTTGCATAATATCGGCTCTGTAGTTCAAACTAAACATTTAAGAAAAAATTAAATTTTAAAGGAAAGGAATTTGAAAATTTGTTGCTATAATATAGTTAAACTGTAGTGAAAAATTGTTAAAATAAATACTTAATTAAGTATTAATAAAAAGCAACTTACATGAAATACATAGTTCCATAAGAATTTTTTTTCCAAAAAATATTGAAATTCACCAAAAACCACAATTGTTCCTTTGAAAATTATAAAATTTAATTTTAGAATTTTTCTACATATAAAAATATTTTACATATACCTATTCCATTTAGAAAAAAAAAACATGAATTTCAATGCTGTATTGATATTTAAATATTTTTTCCAAATTTAAATAAAAAAAGTAAAAAAATGTTGGTTAAGAAAAATAAGGTGTCAATAAATTGTACCAAAATTTCTAGGGTGCCAATAATTATCTAATTTACGCTTTATCTTCAAAACATACCCGTAAATGTTACGTTTTACTTAATGATGCCAATAAGATTCAAAGATGCATTTAACATGATATCGGAAAAAGTGTAACATTTCATTGTTTGCACTATGAAGTCAGTATAACATTTGTATGTATTCCAATATATGTATGTAAATTTTTGTTACAAAATTTCATAAATATTTTGAAGATAAAAAATTTAAATGTCAACATTTCTAAATGTTATGAATATTATTTGTGTCAGTTTTGTGTCCCTTCACAATCTGCATATGAGATTTAAACTATCTGTGTAAATATATTAAATATTTTTTTTGGAGAAAATTTCTGTTTTAAACAAATATTTGTATGCGTATGTAAACATTAAAAATACATTAGAAAAACTTTTTCATATTAAATGTTAGATATGACACGTTGCAAGGGCATAAAATCGATTTATTGGGTTCGCAGTTAGTTAGTAAAGAGCTTGTATATAGAAATACTTGTAAACGTATATATGTGCACTACATATTATGTATAGTATATATCTTCATCTTTTTGAAATATGTGTATTGGTGTAAAGGGAATAAAAAGATAAAATAAATTAAAAATCGATTTATTTAATTTAAAACATCTAGTACGAGTAGAGGAATACATAAGTGTCTCTCTGGTATAGGAAATAAATTTGTGTGAGAATCCTGTGTAGGAATTTGTTTGTAGAATTTTATTAACCATTTATTTAAAAAAAAGTTTTTAAAGAATAAGATTGTGAGAACTCCTTCAATTTTCTAATTGAAAAATAAATAAACGAACCAGTAGACACGAGATGAAGTGACGCGAGATTGATGCCATG